AGACCTATCGTCGGCACCACCAAGGTTATTCACGAACACGTTGAATGAATTGGTATTGAAAGAGTTGAGGTTGGATGAGCTGCTGTTTTCCCTGACATGAGACTGTGACATTTTCCTGCGTCCTTCTTGCTGTCTAGCTGTTTGTATATTCGATCCAGAAGTTATGGGTTATTGAGTATGGTGCTAGAGTAGTGTGTTAATTGATAGAGTCCCAGGGCTGAAGAGAAGCGGGGTCAGCCAGGAATGTTTGAGCAGAGAGACCTTGCTGGTATTCGAGTACTAAAATTAAACTTGCAGCGCCCATCATGACTCAACCCCCTGAGCAACAAGCCACCTGAACAACCGTAACAAACCAACAGTGCTCCTAAAGGTACGGTAGGACTACAGCTTGGAGTGAGGGGGGTACCGGTATTTTCACCGATGAGCGTTGGCTACTATTCCCACCGGTATCCCACAAGCGGGTAAAGTTAGCCAGTTGACAAGCGATCAACAACCATGTCCAAATAGCATGCTAGTTGTCCCGGGCAAGAAGTACCCGAAAACAGGGGGGGGGTAAACGCCACTTGGGGGTAAGGTGAGGCAGGGGAATCCAGGGGTGCCAAATTGGGAATTCTTAACATCAACAAAGTAGTTTACACAATAGAAAAAGCATATTTTAGAGCTAGATTTTAATATATACACAATTAAAAATAAAATAAAATAAAAAGACAGTAGACTACCAGCGAGTATGACTACCATTGGCTGCAATAACAGCAGCAATTCTCTCCGGCATTGAGTCCACCAATTCCAGGATCTCAAACTCCAGAATATTGTGTGATTCCACCATAATGGCATCAACCATTCCTTGCTGACAGACAGGATGGGGGTGCCGCTTGTTCAGTATACTTTTTAAAATATGCTAGATGTTCTTGATCAGGTTAAGATCTGGGGATTTGGGGGGCCAATTAATTTTTGGCATATTATACTACTCTGGAACAGCAGCTGTATACCGGGTGTCACGAACGTGGCTTAGTGAGGAAAGGGTTTTTCACGTGACACATGGTTATGAGTCACAGGTATGTTATTGTTTCACGCATATGACCTATTCAGGTTATATGATTAGTTATGTGTGGGATTTGTGATGCTTTCGCACATGGCTCAAGTATGAGTCATGGGACATGCGCCTGACGAGTATGCCTTACGAGTGTGCCTTACGGGCAAGCCTTGCGCATATGATTTATGTTTCGCACATGACCTCATTATGATGTCATGGGTTTCGTGCATATGACTCAGTCGAGTCATATGACTTGTTTATTGCGTTATGATTGGTTTATGAGTTTTGCACATGACCTCGCTATAAGGTCATGGGTTTTGAGCATGTGATCACTTTGGTCATATGACTAGTTTGTTATGATTTAGTTTCGCACATGTGACCACTTTAGGTCACATGACTAAAGGCGGGAAGAACACTATATAAGGAGGCCGATGCGGCCGAGGAAGATAGGTTCTTCACGCTTTGTTCTAAGTACTTTTCCTACTTATTACTTTAATGAATATAAAACACCCTTACGATCTTTACCTTTATTGCAACTTTATCATTACGCCAAGGAAGGAGCTTTACGAAGAAGAGTTAGAGAAAGCTTATGATAGGCATTCCCGGTAGAAGACAAGGGTCTTGTACTATCGGTAACGTAGGCAGAGGCCTAGAGCTATCGTAAGACAAAGAGAAGAAGAAAGACAGGAAGAGAAGTATCGTTCCCCGTCGCCAAGCACTAACTATCCAAAGAGGGATCGTTACACCGGGCCTGATAAGCAGATGCCCCATTCTCCATGACCACAAGTGTTGTGCTCCTCCTCTGACCTTCCCAATACTAATACAGTCACAGGATGGGGGTAAGAACATGGTTAACATAACTATTGGCTCTTATGGTTCCCCAGTCCTCCCAATTCCAAACTACTAGAGGAGTTTTATTGCCCTCAAGTATTCTCCCCCATATCATAATTGCTTTTATTTTAGGAAACTTGGGGGCGATACAATCCTCCTTGTACTTTTCTCCTGGATGCTAGGTGATCCAGCTTCTGCCATGAGATCAGGTCAGCCAGAGATAACACTTGTCTGTCCAAATTACCTGGTGCCAGTCCTCTCTCATCTAATGCTGGTACCAGAAGGCAAAGGCCAAGCGTTCATTCTTGTACCGCTCTTTGAGAAAGGGTTTTCTTACAACTTGATGAGAATATCCTTTGAGTGAGAAGGCCTTTTGGATAGTCTTCTCACTCGCTTGGACTCCACAGAGCTCTGCAATCTCCATAAGGGGTATCTGGTGATGAGCTGAGGATATTGTCGCTGTAGTGACAAGGGGGTAGCAAGTGGGACTATCGATCGAGAATGGTTGATTCTTTCTCTTTTTTGGTGTTGCTGGGGCTTTGCATATATCATGCACTATACTGAGGCCAATGTTTTGGTCCTTGGCAATCTGCCGGTAAGTCCACCCAGCCCGAAATCACAAAGTATGCACATAGCAGCACTTCTTATATGAGGTATCAGCAGGAATCTGGATATAGATAAGTATAACTATCTTCATACTTCTGTGATACTTATTTGTTTTAATATTATATATATTGTTTTTACATTATAATTGGCTTTTTGAAAGAATAAGAAAGTGTTTACCAGCCAGAATAGTAAGCATTCCGGCCTCAGCAGGGCTTTTATCACTATGTATATGGGCCTCTCAGCTATGCACATGAGCCTCTCAACCATGTCTTAGCCCCCTAACGTATCCCTGAAATATCCCTGAAGTATCCCTGAATTATCCCTGTTTTCCGTCTAAATTTTCAGGTACTTCTTGCCTGGAACAAGTAAAAAGATGATTGCTTGGTAAAGAGTAAACAAGGGATACTGCATTCAGATACTTTCCGGTATTAGCCAACAATATCCACATTCTTGGGTGGCATATTTGAGTGCGCCAAGGTAACCGAAGGCAAATTGTAGGTTAAAACAAATCTTACCAATATCGCGATTTCGTTTCAACTTGTTTTTTTTACTCCATGTACCATTATTGAGTTCTAGTAGTGTACCCAGAGAGTTCTAGGAAATTAACTTCTTACTCACTACCGGTACAGTACAGCGCTCGAGAGAAAAGCATTGTAAAGGTAAAGTACTGTACTAGCAAGATAACTGTTTCTGTATGAGCCAAAAACAACTCGTTCACCATCACTTTACCTTATACTATAATAATACTATTTCCTCACATCCGGAGAACCAGCAAAAGGCCTGCACGATGTGTAAGTAAAAGATGTACAGTAAAGTATTGGGGTGACTAGCAAGCCATCAATCAAGAAACAGCAACGAAAGGGATGCCCCAGACATCAGCAAAAACCTAACCATCTTTTCAATCATAAGATATATATGGCTAGCAAATGCAGTCTCAAAAAACCTCCTCAAATAAAACAATTCTCCCCTCTTACAAGTTCTGGTAAGCGGGTAGAACCCCTAGAAGAGAGTTGAAGCCTTCACTGTGATTTCCTTGACTATCATTTTTTTGTAACCCTAGAGACCTTTTCAGTTTTTCTCAGGTTCTCAGACTCTTCCAGTCACTGAATCAAACCCTCTATCTCCTCTGTTGTCAATACTGAATTGGCCGTTAGGATCTGTGACATGATCGCTCACCTTTGCTTTTGTAGTCCACGATCAGTATATAATTGCTTTTAAATTTTGTCACTAGTTTCCGCAATGAAAATCCTCTTCGTTCAATGTACGGTACAGTACAGTACTGTATGCTAATTCTCACCACCGATTACATGCACTTTATGGTGGGGCGCTCAAGTATATTACTGAAAATCTTTCAACCCAATTGGTTGATTGTCTAAAGTACTGTGCCCTGATGCAAGACCCCGCATTTACTTTTGCCGAAAAAACCTACTTTTTAACTTTGAACACCTTCAAGCATATCAGAGTAAATAGATTAATAAAGTTGAACAGCCCAAGACCACATACAACCCCGCCGCACCAAACCCGGCAGCTGGAGAAATGGTTTAACATAACACACAAGTCCAGGAGAGAATATCGACCGCCCCCCCGCGGACCGTCAGGCCATTTACTTTTTTTTAAAAAAAGAAAACACCAGTAATACAAGTATATGTACTAGTACTGTACAGTACTCGAGTACTCGTACCGCAGCCGGGTAGCGAGCAGGAGTGCGCTCTGACGAATCCAAGGTCATTTGAAACCTGCAGCCGGCGCTTAGGGAAGAACAAAGAAATATATTATCAACTAAAGTCACGTTTTCCAGCTGGAGCGGGTAAAATGGCACAACTCAGAGCTAATACCTAAACTCCACTGCCAAAGGCAACTTAAACACTGGCTACTAACCCTCTCCATCTCTCCTTCAATATGATACCAATCCCTCCCCGTCGGCCCTAACTACTATTACATCCCACTAACAGCCGTTGGACTCACTGCCAAACACCCCCCCTCCCGCACCCAAGAGAAATAACCAGTTCTCAACCCATAAACAATTCGGAGACACTGTTACAAAACTTTAGCCTTTCGATAGCGAAATACCAGTAGCACGCCCAGGGGATTGCAACGAGACGCTAGCTTTGCTGGGAGGTCGGGGTCGCTAAGCCAAATGTGGAATAAATCTAGCCGATAGCTATGGTGCAAAAGCAATGAATGAGGAACACGACATGGTAGGTTTGGGCGGGGTGGTTATGTGACGTTAGAGTCAAACGAGTAGCGATTGCATGGTGCAGGATCCGGCGATAGGTTGGGGGGGTATTGTTGGGTGCGGCCCCGCGGTAGTGGGTAGTGTGTGGGTGGAAAGGGAGGATTCTGCGGGGGTTTATGATAGTCTACTTAAAACCGGAAGTTATATTCGGGGATACCGTTTGGAAACCTTAATCTTGTATAATAATATTATTATGGTCTAATCACTTCGATCATACATATCTATCCGGTACCCCAATTCCATCACATTTAGAACGCAAGATCGCCCATTCAGGGACTAAAATTTAAACAACCGGTGCTAGAAAAAAAAGTTTATACCAACCCTCATGGTATCACGCCCATCCTATAATCTCGCCTTAATCCCCCTATCCAAAAACCACCCCTCAACCCTCTCCCTCAAGCCCACAACCACACTCCCATCCTCGACTGTAGCCGGAAGCTCCACCTCCTTACCAAACTCGCCCCTAACAGCATTCTCTACAACTGCCCTAACCACCCTCCTGAGTGTCTTCCCGCTACGCGTGCGGGGAACCTTATCCACGACGACAACACCACGAAGGACAGCAATCGGTCCAATTTCGGTACGCACGTAGCCGTTAACCTCCTTCAACAACACCTCCTCCGAAGGAGGAGAGGAAGAGCAAGAAGGTTTAAGAACAACGACCGCAAATGGAACATGCCCCTTGAGCGGATCCGGCGCACCGACAACATACGCCTCGGCAATCGCCACATGCGAGAGTATCGCCTCCTCAATTGCGCCAGTCGAAAAACGGTGCGCGGCGACATTAATAACGTCGTCGGTGCGCGACATGACATGCACGTACCCATCCCGATCCAGGAATCCGGCATCGCCGGTGTCAAACCATTCGCCTTTTCCCGCGAACCTTGCGAAGTACGCATTGTGGAAGCGTGCAGCTTCCATGTCGCACCATAGTTCCGTAAGGCCCGTTGGCCCGAGCGGCGTTGCCAGGACGATGTTTCCATTCTGGCCGGCAAGGAGCGGGACGCCGGCGTCGTTTACAACTTTTAGGTCCCAGCCCGGCATGGGTTTCCCCGCGCTACCGGGCTTGATGGGTGACGGGAGGGCATTGAACCCCAAGGAGATACCGGTGATTGGGGAGCCGGATTCGCTGGACCACCAGTTATCTACTACCAACCCCTTGCAGGAAGGAGAAGTTGATGGGCCGAAGATCGCATTTTGGTAGTCCGTTACTATCGACGGCTCACTCCGCTCACCGGCCAGGAAAATTGCGCGGAGGGAGGAAATGTCGAATTCCCTGACCATCCCCAGCGTCGGATCCTCGCGCTTTATCGCACGGAGCGCTGTCGGCGCAGTGCTCAAGACGTTGACTTTCCATTCGGAGATTATCCGCCAGAAGGTTCTCGCATCCGGAGTCCCCACGGGCTTTCCCTCGAACAGGACTGTCGCGGCGCCTATTAGTAGCGGCGCATAGAGGATGTAACTATGCCCGACGACCCAGCCCAGGTCGCTGGCGGTGAATATCGTGTCACCGGCATGGATGTTGAAGAGGTGTTCTATCGTGTACTGCAACCCGACAATGTGTCCTCCGATGTTCCGGGTTATACCCTTTGGCTGGCCGGTTGTGCCGGATGTGTAGATTATGTATTGCGGCGCGCAGGAGGGAAAGGCAGCACCGACTTCCACGGTTTTGGCGCTGTTGGGGATGGGGACGCGGGTTATTGAGTTAGATGAGGCAAAGTTCGGCGGGGATTGGCTGCGTCGGGTTTTCAGTGACCGAACAAGGCTGTTCCAGTTTAGTTCTTGGAGCGACTTATCTAACGAGACGTAGAGTTCGTCGCGCTGTAGGACAAGTGCGTTCTGTGGCTTCCAGTTGCTTTTGGAAATTGCTTCGCGGACCTGTAATTCTTTAGCCCCCCTTCTTTGAGAGTGCGGGGAAATATCATACCAATGGCAAGTAAGGAATAATCCTACTCCCCTCAATCCCACAACTCGCCGTAAGCACCAATTTTGGCCTAGCAGACAAAATCCGCTTTGCGCATTCGGCCGGCGAAAAGCCCCCGAAAACAACCGTATGTATAGCCCCCAAATGTGCTATCGCCAGCAGCGCAATCGTGCACGAGGGTATCATCGGCACTGTCCAGCGTCAGCAAACAAAACTTCCAGAGAAGGGGAAGAGGAGTAAACAAACTGTAAACAAGAACCGTATCGCCCTCTTTAACACCCAGCCCCCTCAACACCTCCGCAAACACCTCCACCTCTTCCTGCAGTTCCGCATACGTAATAACACACTTCCGACCCGTCACGGGCGAATCCCAAATTATCGCTCTCTCCTCCCCCCGCCCTAAAAGCACATGTCTCGTGACGAGATTATATGTAGTAGAAATCCTCCCATCGGGGAACCACCTCCACTTCCTTTTCCCGTCGACGCGCAGAGGTGTAGAGTACTGCGTTTCCCACGATAGCTTTTGTGCGTGGACATGCCAGAAGTCAGCGGGAGCTCTGAGGGATTCCGAATAGTGTTTTGACTGTTCATCCATTCTGCCCTCTTGTTGTTTTGCGGTGGTGGTGGTGAAGCTGTGCCGACCGTGCACTCCTACCCGTACCACCCCGACAACAATGACAACCGCAGACTAAGGAAATCGGTTTACCCATGGACGTAGCACGTGATCTGGGGATGCGGAAGATAGCCAGCATTCTTTCACTTAACTTATCGCTTCTTCGTCTCCCTCTACTCGAGTACCGGCACCAGTACTTGTACGATATTTCAAGCAAAACACCGGTACCTAGTACTTATAACAGACGAACGTTCTCAAAGCGCACTTCCCACGCCGCCTAAATCCCCAAGGATCAGGATAATCCGCCATCCTGCACCTCTACGGAGGTACAGCGCCTAAGTTTTGTATGTTCCACAAGCAGGGGGTGTTTAGCTAGCAGGGATGAGAGACAAATTGAGTATAGTGGATTGGTTGTTCTGGGGCATGAGTTCTTGAGTAGAGTGAAAATTTTTCTCGTCTGAGAGGCTATGCTTTTTTGTGCTCCATGTTTATAGTTAATCCAAGATGCCAATTCCAGGAGGCACAATATCGTTCCATCTGACAAGAGACCAGAGATGAGACTGTCAGCTTCTGAAGGCAATCAGATGGAAGCAGATACAAATCTAGGAGAGAACTGAATTCTCTCTGTAACAAATACAGTATGCATGTACTTCTCCAGCCACTCCGGTAAAGCATACTGGACATACTCCTGTGTTTACTCAAGTCCAAACTGAGGACCTCATTGAGTACGTATGCGCATCTGGCCAGAACTGACACTTTTCATATCAACAGCTGGCAGATAAGCTGGAATTGGGAGTTAGAAGGAAAGCTATCAGATCAGCATTGATCAAGGAAGGCTTTTACTGTCGTCTTGCAATGAGGAAACCTCTGATTAGTGAGCAGAACCAAATTATAAGGCTTGCGTGGGCTCAGGAGCATGTGGATTAGACGATAGAGCAGTGGTGCTCTCTCTTATGGACAGATAAGACTTGGATTACACATGACAGGTATACAATAACATGTATTACCAAAAGGGCTAGTAAAAAGTGGAATCCTACGTATATTGTGGAGAAACACCAGAGGAGATGAGGATAGATGTTCTGTGGTTGCTTTTATAGAAATAAGCAAGGTCCTGGGATATTTTAGGGAAAAGATTAGGGGTCTATTAATTCAGAAAGTTATGGTATGCATATAGTTCCTGTGATGTATGGATATATTAAATTATATCATTAGGATGGGATTTATTCAAAGCTGATATAGGATGGTGCTCCTGGGCACACAGCTGGAGATATAACAACAGACCTAGGAGAGAGAAAAATTGGGATCATTTA